ATTTGAGCGCGAAGTCCTTCGTCTTCTCTGCTTCCGACGGCAGAACAGAGAGCCCGGCTGGCTCGCGGCTCCGGCAACCATAGCCATCACCGGCGGCGGTGGAGTGGCGGGGAAGGACCAGGGGTCCCGCTCGCGCCCGCTGGTGGTCTCGGATGGCCGAGAGGCGGCCCGAGGTGGACCGGCCATGTGCACCGGTGGTCGGAGGCGACGGCGGCCGACGACTGCGGTGCTCCCAGCATGGTTTTGGACGGCGAGCATGAGCACGGCGTGCAGGAGAGGGAGGCGAAGCTGATGGCGTTGCTCGTGAGGAGCGAGGGGGGCTGAGAGGGGAAAACAGCCGCGGCACCGGCGAGCTCGGAGCTCGGCCATGGCGGTCACGCGTCCCGGTGCGGGGCGGGGCGAGGAGAGGGCAGAGAAGGAGTGGGAAAGTAGCTCGGCGGTCGCTCTGGTGCTCCACTACGCCGAGTGAGGCGCGGGGCACGCGGCAGAGAGCAGGGGCGAGCTCATGCATGGCTGCCACGCTCCCGGACGCGCGTCGCCCATAGAGGCAATTCAGCGAACAGGTGGCGTGCACCGGAGTGGGAAAGGTGGGACGCCATTTTGGGCCGGCTCTGGTCCGAATTGGTCCATGGGCCAAAAATGAAGTTTGGTCAACACCTGATGCTCTCCAACTTTGCTTAAGGGTTCAGGGTCATTAGGGTTATGGTTTAGCAGATAACGTGCTCCTAACTTTGGTTTGTCAACGTGACGATGGTGATTAGGAAAACTCAGAATTAACCATCAACACGAAGCCAAACGGGTTCCAACTTTTTGCATGCTCTTCTCCATAATATAACCTTCAACTTTTATTTTTGGACCAACTCAAGTTGCTTAACGAATTTCAGAGAACGCGAGACGCCAATGCTGATGTCAATGAAATTCTAGACTTAGAATATTTCCAAGCGCTGAAACCTGCAGTAGATTCAATCTTGTGACCTCTGTTTCACTTATTTCCAAGCTGATCTAGGTCTTAGTATAAAAACAAAGTTTCTTCTACATAATATGAACTACACTTTTATTTAAGGCCCAACATCAAAGCTTGCATAGAACCTAAGGTTCTACTTTGACCAAAGTAGGATCACGATAAAGCTTAAATCTGAGTTTTAGACCGATTGATGCATTTTCTTGATCTCTGCTCAACACAAACCTTTCATGACTTTTGCTGTAGAGTTCATCTAGAGTCATTTGGGCAAGGTTGCAAGGTTTGGTTGATGACCTACATTACCATTCACTTAATAGTGCAATTCAAGCACTTAGTAAAGCCATTCCAATAAGGATATAACTTATCATTTCATGTGACTTCTTGATTCCAAACTTCACGAAACTTTTCCCTAGATCAATATAGATGGATATTGATGTGAGACACATGAAGATATTCCAATAACACCAGCCAAGCATCTATCTTGAAAAGACCTATATGTAAAGCAAGGGTGCAATATCCGAGTTTAGGTTGGGGCTCATTTCCATAGGTTTGACCTTGACATCTCCATCACAACTGAACATGTCATGGTTGAGCTCAAACCCATCGCTTAACTGGTGACAAACGCCTGGGGTGTTACAACGTCCACAAGCTGCCATTCCTATCCGCTCCCCTCTAGTCACCACAGATTAAAAATAAATAAATTCATGCATCACCGCGACTCCGCGGGGCGCGACCAGTTCCGCCACGGCTCCCACAGGCCTCCCATCTCTACCATGCCTCCTACCAACCTTCCTCTCTACCGCTGCCACGCCCCCACCATCGTGGCGTGCTCTCCCATGACCGCACTGCCACGACGTGCTCCCCTGACCGCACCGTCGCGGCGTGCTCGTCACGCGAGGCCAGACCACCCGACTGCTACTGTCGCCTCCATCGCGGGCACCGTGTGCGTCGTACCATCGGGGGCCGCACAGTCGCCGGCTCCCTGCCATGCTTCTCCACCGTGACCACGCAGCTGGGATCCCACTGTGCCGTGCTCTGGTCGCTTGGCTGCCATGTTTCGCTGAAAGCGCATGTTGCAAGCGTATGTTTCGAGTGTTTCAGAGGTATGTGGTAAGTGTTTCAAAGTAAATTGGGATGTTGCATATGTTGCAATGGTACACGTATGTTGCAAAGGCCTGTTACCAATGTTTCATCTGTGTTTTCCGCACACATGTTGCAAGTGTATTTATCTGAATGTTGCATCTGTTTCACACATACGTTGCATGTGTTTTATCTAGATGTTGCGTATGGTTGCATGCAATGGGTTTCAAGTGTTTTTAGGTGTTTTTTTCAAGTGTTTCATCAGCATGTTTCAAGTGTTTTATCTGCCTTCAGACATATGTTGCAACTATTGTATTTGATATTTCAAAAGCAGATCGGGTGTTGCATCTCTACTCCTCGCCTTCTGCTGCATCGTCTCGGTGTGTCCTCCTCCCGACGCTGGTAGACCATCCATACGACGCCGCGGACGGGTCCTTAAGAATCAGAGGGGCCGCCCCTTTCCCTCTTATCGCTCGGGTGGTGCGGGCCCCACGTGGAGCACGTGGGAGTTCAGGCATTTGAATTGAATAACGTTTTGAACAATTGAAAACGTGTGATCTATGTGGTTTGTTGCTTAACCTAATGTCTGGAGAAAAAAAAACGTTCTGTATCCGGCTCGTCATGTATCTGATATTTATTCGTATTTGTAACGAGTCAAATTCAAATTCAAATTCAAATTTATATTCGATACTAATGAATGTCCAACTCTGAAGAAAAAATATACAGTACACGAAAAACAAATACGCTAACGGTGTAGCCTAAAAACAGACACGCTAATCTTCTTGTGGCGCAAGCCTCGAGGGGAGGGGAAGCAGAGGACGACGGAGGCGGGCTCACTCGAAAGGAGAGGCAGGCCAGGCTCCCAGCTCAAAATGGCAACGGGTATGTACCCGATGGGTACTGGCCACCCGTATCCACACCCGCCAGATCAAAATCTTACCCATCGGGTTACCCGTATCCGCAAGCGGGTAGAAAATTCATTTCATACCCATACCCGACGGGTAATTCTTACCCGACGGGTAACCCGCACCCAACAATATACCCGAGTTCACACACCAAAATATAATAGCCTCCAGCAAAATAAATCAACAATAGAGCAGCAAAACAGAAATATATCCAGGTCAAGCTAGTTGAAATAGATCAGATGCCTCATTGGTTCATTCCAAATATGCTTATATGGGAATTAGGGTTTGAGGGAGTTCTGGAATATATATACTCATATGCTTATATGAGCCAAATATGGGTTATATGTTTATATGGGCTAAAATTACAGATGTTGAATATTATTTATGCGGATTTTTTTACCCGTGGGTATGCGGATATGGGTAGTATACACCCACACCCGTACCCGCATACCCGATGGGTACAAGAATTCGTCCAATAACATACCCGCGGGTGCAAAATATCTTTCATACCCACTGCCTTATCAGGTAAAACCCGTCGCGTACTCGAGTTTCGGTTACCCGTTGCTCACGGTCCGCTCCCTTCCTTCCTTCCTGTGCGTAAGTGATTGCTTGCTTGGATTGGATTGGATTGATTCCGCCGTGCTAAGACGCTTAGGGTTCTGTTTTTTTCCACGATCGAGAGCACCCGGACCCTTCTATGTTTTCTCAGTTCAGACTCGGTTACTCGTGGTCCCAAAAATTGGGAATGAAGTACGCCCCTGAGATTCGTTGATGATCGGATGATTGTTTCACTTTTTCCCCCAGTATATGCAAACTATTGTGGCAGTTGGCCGTAGAATACATCTGTTTTGCATTAGCTTCTTGTAACCTGTTATTTAATCCAACTATCCAAGAACGCGTAGTGCATTTGGAATAGGTGCTTGTATTGTGATTCGTCCAATTTTATTTTGGTTAAATATGTGTAGTTTGTGTGTGGTGGTGATCATCCCAAGTTTACGTGGATCACTTGCTCAGCATTTCAGTCCGTTGGGTGGTGATGTTTTGCTTAGTTACATTTGTTTTGCTTTGTTATCACTTCCTGAATTGTAGCGAGTTGAATTTGCTGTACACAAGCCTGGCTTTTTAATCTGTCAGGCGCAAATGATAAAATCTTCTTTCACTTTGTGTATGGGAGCTAATGTTGGTTTTCTAATAAGTTTTGTTGGATTTAGCATATTGCGACAATTTTGTGTGTTTTGATGTTTTTTTATATTTTCACTAAGGGATCCTGTTGTCAGTATTGCATTGCTTGTATGAAAGAACAAAATACTACACACTTGTTCATCAAATCCAGGGTTGTGAGGAGCATACACATGTTGAAATCCTAGAGTTTTCAGGATTATGTGTATATCATAATTACTGAGATATTATTTTCTGGAAATGTCCAGTTACAGAGAGATTATTTTCTGGATATGTCTGTCTGTGTAAAGTGTGTGTTGTCCATGTCTTAGGCAAGTTAAGGTGCAACAATATTTATCTATTTGTGTGTACCATGCTCATACTGGAGAACTTTTCATATGTTCAAGGGCTTATATTTTCCTTGAACTTACTGGGAACTGCTCATAAGTCCAGTGCCTTTTGTTTTGAAGTCAGATGTAAAGAAGGTAATTTAGTATATCATTGTTATACACTGCAAAGAACATAACACTAAAATAACTGGATACTCTCATAGTAGGATCTGAATGCATAAGATCAAATTGATTCTGGCTTCTGTCATTGTTCTGTTGACTTGATATGTTTCTTGGCTGATTGAAAGGGCGTACCCAGTGCAGAGAGCTCCCGCTCTGTGTGGGGTCTGGGGAAGGGTGTCAGTGGCAAGCCTTACCCTCGCCTGTGCAATGCGAGGAGACCGCGACTCAAACCCGGGACCTTCCGGTCACAGGCGGTAAGACTCTACCGCTTGCACCAGGCCCGCCCTTCGTTTCTTGGCTGATTGAACTTAGTAATATTCTTTTGCTATCCTTTCTCCTCATTCTGTTATTGGACTATTTCTATTTCTCTGGTTGACAGAGGGCATGGAGGGTTCTAACTTGAAAGGTTTGGTGGATGATGAAATTGTCATGAAGACGGGCAAGGCTGCAGGCATCGGTTTAGCTGTTGGCACTGTGTATGGTGCGCTAAATTCTATGCTGCATGATGGGCCTCAGGTTGGCAGTAATGTCAAGTATCCCCAGCTGATCAGAACTACCAAGGTGTGTGGGCATTGTGCAGCAAACTTAGCAGTTGTTGGAGCTACATATGTAGGCATCGAGCAGGCTCTTGCAAGGTACAGGATGAAGAAGGACATCATTAATGGTGCTGCTGCTGGTGCTGTTTTGGGTTTCAGAGGTAAGACATTTATCTTGCTCCAGTTGTTATTCCTAGCCTGAACTTATAGTAAAAATAAACTCCTTTGGGATATGATTGTGTTTGTGTGATTTGTTGTCGATGATATTTTACTTGAACTTTCTCTGTTGATTTGTTACCACCTGTTCCCACAATTTTCTTTGGTGCTGGGGTCATCATGCTTCGGAAATTTCTTATGCTGCATAGTAGAAATTAGCTTCGAGCTATATGGGGACTTAATTTCTCGATTAATTTAATTGCATTGGTGAGAAATGCCATGCCACAAAGGTTACTTTGGAATTAGATTTGCTGTATGCACTTCTTGATAATAGAATCCTGTGTGTTATCAGAAGGTCTAGGATGCTATTCTACGACATGTAAAAATTCAACATGAAACATTAGGCAATGCTTTACTGCAAATTTTGACATAGTTACGCGCATTCTTGCATGTTAGATATCATGATTCATGGGAAGGAGGCCATTTGTTGACTTACTACTCCTGTTACTGTTCCACTTCCACTGATGGTCCTCATATGTGTTGTCCCCTTTGTGCATTACACAATATCATCTTGTTTGATGAGTAACATCTCCTAAACTTTAGTCGTTGTCCCATCGAATGTTTGGACACATGCATGGAGTATTAAATATAGACTATTTACGAAACTAAATGCACAGATTGAGACTGTTTTGCGAGACGAATTTTTTAAGCCTAATTAGTCCATGATTTGACAATGTGGTGCTACAGTAACATGTGCTAATGACGAATTAATTAGGCGTAATAAATTCGTCTCGCGAATTACTGACGGATTCTGTAATTTGTTTTTTTATTAGTATCCGAACACCCCATGCGACACTCCCATATGACACCTTCTAAACTTTAGTCACTGGATCCAAACGCCCCCTAATATACTAACTTGTCAATGTGGCATTGTTGCTTTGTGCAGTTGGGAGCTTCCGGACAGCATTCTTTTCAGGGTCTGCACTCGCTTTGACATCTGTACTGCTGGATGTCACCGGAATGAAAACTACTGATGAAGAAGAAAAAGGCAACCACTAGCCACCCTATGAAATGGAAGAGCAGTATCTGTTTCAGAGGAGTTCCATCTCTAAAGAAATGCTAGTAGAATAGTAGTATCGGCGGCAGTGAAGAGTTTCTTAACCATCGATTTTAGTACACAAACGTAGTCTGTTCATAATAGAGGTAGTAGGTTATATACTTCGCTGGGGTCCTGGGCTGAAGCCTAAACACATGTTTGCAGAGTACTTTCCGCCATTTTCATCTGCTGCTAGTTTTTTCTGAAACTGCAAGTCGAAGTCACTGGTTGGGTTCGTTCAAGTACCATCAGGTTCCACCAAATTCTGAATCTGTGCTGCAAGTTGTCTTTTTAACATTTTATATGGAAGCAGTGCATGTTTTTTTGGTACTCGGTGTTTAATCTGAGATCTTGTTAGTTGTTTCTTCCTGATGTATGCTCTATGCTTCAGAATGTATACCTTGTGCTCATCTGCAGGGTTTAATGCTCTTCTATGTTTTATATGACTGTCACAGAATATTGATATTTTCTTTTGCTCTTCATGCTGAAAACAAAGTTTATAATTTCCTAAAAAATAGTTTGTCAAGAGTTTTGTAGACTCAGCCATATACAAGATCTGGCTAAACCTTACGAGGCTGGTGGTCTGTTCAGCACAAGCACAAATGTCCAAAATACAGGCTCACAAGATCCATGTGTACCACCTGGCCCCCAACTCTCCCGTGGATCCAGTGTGGCGTGATCCCATTGGCTCCCTGGATATCCCTCCTCTCCCTCTCGCGCTTGCAGCAAAATCCATTGCTGCGCTCTCGCTTCTGCAGCTTGCTCACTCCCCCCAAAACGTTCACAAAATCTCCAGAAAAATCCATTTCGTAACCAAAAATCTCAAAAAGAAAAAGAAAAGTCAAGTGAAACCGGTAACGGAAAAATGGCCGTGGTTGGCCTATCCAGTGCTTTCTCTCCTCTCAGGTGAACAAAGATTTCTCCCTTTCAACTCTCCCTCCTCATTCTTCAGTATGTGATTATTGTGAAACGGTGAAACCTGAAGAATCGGAATCTGTCTGCATGTTTTCAGAGGTTCTTGGATGGCCGTGAGGATCAGGCAGGGTGGGGAACCTGCAGGAATCAGCCTGTCTCCAAGGAGGAGGAGGAGAAGCTGCGCGGCCGTGGTTCGGGCGGATGTGAGCTTCGTGGGAGCCGACGAGGCGAAGAGGCTCGTGGACGAGGAGGGCTACACAGTGCTGGACATCAGGGACAGGACGCAGCGCGAGAGGGCACACATCAAGTCCTCCACCCATGTCCCTCTCTTCATTGAGAACCAAGACAACGACATTGGTACGCAAACAACTACTGCCCGCGCCACCATCTCAACATCAACATCTATCGCCCATGCATTCCTACATTTCTTTCTTTTCTTTTTTTGGAGGAATTTCTTGCAAGAAATGTTATGCTTTTCTTGTAGTACTTTGAATTGAGTTGCGACCCTGTGTGCTCTGTTTAATTTTGATTTTGTTATTAAGGGACGATCGTGAAGCGCCAGCTGCACAACAACTTCGCGGGGCTCTTCTTCGGTCTGCCCTTCACCAAGCTCAACCCGGACTTCGCCAGGACAGTCAAGGACAAGTTCTCGCCGGAGAGCAAGGTGCTGGTTGTCTGCCAGGAAGGTCTCAGGTTTGTGGCCAAACAATTTTGTCATCAAGTTCCTTTGTCAGGACTAAGGACATGTTAAGCAAGCAAATTAAACATTCAATCGAGCTAAAAGGTGCAAGTACTCCCTATGATTGCATCTACAAGTTGTCTCGGACATTAACACGTTTCCACTGACAATTTGACTAGCCGTCTCTATCAAAATATTATTTATTTCAAATAAAAGCCAATTGTATGGACCATCTTTAGAGGGGTTTCTTTCAACTCCAGCTCCATGCTACAGTATCCAAAAGAGCCGAAGCAGGTGAAGCCAATTTTCTGGCTCCACCGGCTTCTAGTTCAATTTTGGGAAGACATAAAAACAGCTCCATACTACAGTGCACAATATTTTAGGAAGAGGAGCTCTCCCAAACACAACCTATATGTTCTCAATATATATAGTCATCTACATTTTGATGGCGGACATTTAGAATTTTGACCCTAAATGAATCCTAGAATGACCTGTATTTGCAATCAGAGGGAGAATATTATTTATATCGTAATGCGATTATTGAGTAGTTACCCCGCAGGTCCAGTTTTTTTTTATTGAGTAGTTGGATGATCTCGTATAGATTATTGATTCGGTTTTCCCTTGGTCTGCTGAAGGTCAGCGGCCGCTGCAGATGCACTGGAGAAAGAAGGCTTCCAAAATATTGCATGCATTACATCAGGTCTTCAGACAGTGAAGCCAGGTGCCAAACTGATAAGCTCACAGAATATGTTGCTCCAAGGTGTTTTGGAGTTTAAGCTGTAACATATAGCTCAAAATAATTTTACAGGAACGTTTGAATCTGTCGGAAAAAGTGAGCTGCAGAACGCGGGGAAAGCTGGCCTTGTCACCATCCAAGGGAAGATTTCAGTAGTCCTTGGGACTGTACTGATCAGTAAGATTATTGGATTACTCTCTTTCAGAAATAACCAAATGGACCAGCTCATCACCCTATTTTATGGCCACTCATGTGCAGGTGCCTATCTGTTTATAACATTCTTCCCCGACCAGGCTGAGAAGCTTTTTGACTTGGCTGGCATCAGATTGTGATCAGAACTGATGTTCTTTCCATTCGTATTGGGTACTCCAGTTCATAATCAGGTCATCATTTGCATATGTTCTCTGAAATCTTTGTCAAAATCATGTTCATCCAGAGATCCTTGTCCTCTCCAAAATAGAAATGTTAGAATTATTTGATGTCGAGACGAGTTACATCTTGATTCTAAAGTTCCTTCATGTATTTCAATTCTACTTTGGAGTTTTCTACTGAATTTGACGTGACCGCTGAAGTTAATGCTAGAACGCTTCTAACACTTTATTTGACTTGCAAAAGTGCAAATGCCCTTGCTTTATTGTAATAACATCATAAATTCCCTTATTTCTTCGTAGGTAGTAAGACCTAAGAGAAATGCTTTTAGATGCTAACTGGGGGGAAAACTATTTGATACTGATAAACTCATAATAGTACCAAGAACAATTTGTGTTCTGTTACTTCTGTAGCAAGCCACAGAGTCTGTTCAGGTTTTGATTTTCACCCAAAGATCTAAGGCACTATTCTTTAACAAATAAGATGAGAATCATTGCAGAATCTGAGTAAATGCTCAAATACGAACTAATCAGATATATTTCCCATTTCCTGTAGGATGATTGGTTGATCAAGTTGACTCACTCAGATGTTTCCAGGCCGACAAGGAATTTTTGCTCTGTGTATTATTAGGGAATTCTTGACAGATCAGCATTTATATTCTTTGAAACATCCCTTTTTATTGATGTACCTCCTATTTCTATTGTATGCTTGATTTATCTACGTGTTTGTGTTGCTTCTTGAAGTATTTAGACCTCTGCAGCTATGATTCAGGATTCCAAATAGAAGCTTTTATCCATCTAGTCATGCTCATCCACTGCAGAACATTGACTTGTAGAACTTGATACCAATTGCAGTTGCAGATGAAATGATTGTCTTGTGTAATGACCTAATAATAGATCTTGCACTTGATGGGATGTTGTGGATTGCGATGGAAACTGAAAATGCCATAAATCTAAGGAAGAAACGTGCGTTCTAAATTTTATCTATCTAAAAAAAAACGGTCCAGTTTGTTCATTCTCCATTCAATTAATCAAAACTTAGGAGATTAAGGCCATATTACAATGCATGTATCTCAGTTGTTAAGTAGCTTTTCTGACGATTAAGACATCTTATCTCTGAAGGTATCCCAACCGACCAAGGGACATTAGAACTTAAACGATTTTGTCCTGTAACCTTAGCACGAATGAAGAAATATGACATTCATGCACAAATTTCACTTCTTACCTTTCCCTTTTTAGTTTGGAGACACCAATACAATTCATTCAAGCAGTCATATTTATATGACTGAAGTACAGGAGTAAAGAGCAGAAAGCCTTACACCTGTACCACCATCGTCTCCTAGAACCAAATACTGTTCAAAGAATGAATTTGAATCCCAAATGGAAAAGAAAGGAATGCATTTGAACGCGCTCATCAGGCAAATTGGAAAATCTGAAAGTCAGGGATTGAACTGACAAAACACTAATGCTGGAATGTACAAGATGTAGAATTCGATTCAAGTAAACAAACATGGTATATAACTGAAACAAACCATGCTGCCTTTGTGTCATCATATAGAAGTGCCGTTAAGAAAAATTGTAATCATATGAACAAGCAAAATCCTTCACATAAACTGTTATGGTACGAAAATTGTTTGACATATCGAAATCACATTGAAGGTCTTGATCACTTTGTTATCAAAATCTAGCCTCCAAGTATCCCTCGTACTACATGTATTCGCCAAGATATTCCCCCTCTAGTGCTCCTGCAAATTTCTGCTAATCTAAGCTCTATTCACACGGATAGGTTGTCCTTCCAATTCCTGAAACCACAGTTAATTATAGAACAATAAGACATTAGCCACATGCTCTGTTACAAAGTTTGATATCAAAAGCCATGCCAACTTTCAAGGCTTCAAAAATCTTTTGAATAGAAAATATAGGAGATTATGGTCTCAATGCATGCTGAAATATGGTTAAACGTGAAAGAACGACAAGGATATTAATATCAGTAAATAAGTTTCTTTCGGAATGATATGTCGGAAGAATATGGCATCAGTTGATGTAGTTCAGATCATGCAATTCTAACTCATCTGTACACATGACAATCAGTAAGTTAATTCCATATTTCCATCTATTTTTCACCTAAATGATAAGATAGAAGATTGCAGCACAGCATTTTTCTTTTGTTTGGCAATCGCCAAATGGTGACTACTTTATGAGGTAGCAAAGAAATGGCAGAAATGCATAAAATATACATGAGAAACTTACCGCGTTATTGAAAGTAGCAACAGCAGCTTCAACTTCTTCCTCGGAAGAGAATGTGACAAAGCCATACCCCTTTGATTTCGAGGTCCCCAGAATGTGGGAGACTGTGGCACTGAGGATCTTCCCCTTTTCAGAGAAGAAGTTTTTAAGAACTTCCGTTGTTACAGTCTTTGCAAGATTACCAACATAAACCTTATACTGACTATCCACAAATACAGGCTCGGATTCTGGTGCCGATCGGTCAATGTTCGGTAAGAAGCTCTCTGTGACATTCACTTTAATTTTTCGATCACCAACCTCCTGGCACAAAAAGCTGAAATATGAGTACCATGGCTGCATTCCCCTCAAAGTTCACAAATATGCCCTGGAGCAGAAATGCAACATTGGATGCTTACGGTCCCATTGAGAGCCTCAACTGCAGCATTGGCTTCTTCTGCAGTGCTCATCGTGACAAACCCAAATCGTCGGCTGCGGTTGGTATACTTGTCGTACATAACCTGCAGGAAACAATTGAACATTTCCATTTCAGCTTTCGGAGACCTAAAGTTATTTTGGAGCATAAAGCAAGACACTCAACGCAACATAGCCTTGTCTATTGAATATTGATGCAGCAATTCGACAGAACCAATGCAAGCAACCAAACCACACAAGGATTACCATTTCCGAGACTCCAATAATGTTTGAGCAAGAACTAAATAAATTAGATTGAATCTGGACAAGAACTTGAGTGGGAAAGGAAGGAACCAAGAAAGACTGGTGTTGACAATCAAGTGGTCTGGATGCGTGTTTCAGGTTGTGTGCAACCTAGGGCGAGCTAGCCCTTGCTGGTGTTTGATTTAGATCCCAATCCAACGTCAACAACTGGGAAGTGAGAAAGGTCCAATCTTGGAATGGGATAAGACACTACCTCGGCCCGCTCGACGGTGCCGTGCGCAGCGAACATGTCGCGGAGCTCGTCACTGGTGACGGTCCTGGGGATATTCCCGACGTAGAGCTTCCGCGCCGCCACCGCCTCTGGCGCCTCGAGCACCGCCGAGGACGCGGACACCCGCAGCGCCAAGCCCCGGCGCCACGCCTGAGGCGCCGTGGCGGCCCGGAAGGAGATACGGATAGGGGCGGAGACGGAGACGGAGGCAGGGCTCAGGCAGCGGCGGTGGAGGGCCGGAGGAGTTACTAGAGAGGAAATGGCGGTCGCCATTGGAGGGGAGAGGAGAGGAACGAGAGGGGAGGAGCCGAAGCAGGACAGCGTTATCCGTTGTCGCAGGTGGATTCGGTGTTTCGGGGAGAGAGAAACGAAAAAGTTCGGGCCTGCTGGGAAGTTTTGCCCTGTTCACTCACCTCGCCTCGCCTCGCCTCGCTGGATGGCGCGTTCCACGAGAAGGTCGCTAGAAATCTGAGCACGTTCGCCAGGTCGTGATCGTGGATTATTGGTTTGACGTGCGAGAAAAATATCGTTACAGCTTATAATGTACGATCGTATGCGAGCAAGCGAATAGATTGGTCCGTTGATTTGACTGAAAAAACAGTTGATGCTAATTTATGGTGAGAAAAAAATACTATTATTTTGCTGAAACGGTACGACTAATAAATTAAAGCGAACAGACCCAAGACAATCCAGGGACATGAACCAAACAGTTAGCAATGGCCAGGCAAAACAATACCCGACAAAGGTACCAAGCACACCCTTAGCCACTCAGGTTACTCGTAGTTGTCTATATTGTATCACTTAAACTATTGAAAACCTTCTTAAAAATCATGTGGTTTTACAGGTATTTACAGGAACCTAAAATATTAAAAAGTCTACATACCTCTAACCTATCGAGGGTTGACCACATAATTCCTCAACTATGAAATTTGATAATGTAGCTCTTAAAGTATCTAATTATGTTCGAATGACCCCTTGATGATCTTGTAGGCCATTAGATACCCTGTACCGCTACACTGGGGTATGTAACTATACTTACACGTAGTTTCATTTATTGCCTCCACCTCCGTACTCTTTCTAGACTGACCCACAACTCGTTAACATGCGACACCTTGTCTCCTGTGTCTACCTACTGTCACTCATGGACGCCATTGAACTCAAGCACCACCCCTCCCATGTCCTCCAGCCAGCTATCCTTTAGTTTTCTTAAGTACCAATAGGAGCAGAGACTAATCTTCTTTTTCTTTTCTTTTTCCTTACTGCCGGTAAAAAGGGGCCACACACTACACCTTAAGTGCACCGATTGTAGATCAGTGAACCACGAGCTAGATTGTGTACACCAAACAACCTAGCTCAGTGCTAGGACACGCGGGTCATAGATCGGTGGACCCCGACGAATTTGTATGCGATGGTCAGCTTGGTGTCAGCGAGGTTGTTCATGCGAACCATCCGATGTTAGCGACTAGACCATCTAGTGTGAGCAACCGGACCGTCCAGTGTGGCTCAGGCAGTTGTTACATATCTTATGAGTTTCTTTGTCCTCTCGACTAAAACACAAAAGAAAATTACATCAGCCACCTCTAATGATTGGTAGGGATCAGGAGCTGCAGATAGTAGATCAGTACATTGGAGGAGATGGCTGGAGTGTGGGCTGACATCAAACAATTCAATGCAGTGATGCTTGGGAAACAAGGCTAGCGGCTTATGACATTGCCGGATTCGCTTTGTGCTCGAGTTATCAAGGGGAAATACTGCCCCAATGGTGAATTTAGTACAGCCAGAAAGAAGAGGA